CTCTCAGCCTCTCAATTGGAGTTTTCAAAATACAATCTAATATCAATTTTTTCACATTTTCATATCTAATAAAGTAAAATCTGTTTGGAATAGTGTATAAGTTCAGCCTGTGTATACTTTTGAGTGGAGAAAAAAAATAAAGGCTTTCTTCATTATTTTCAAAATAAACTTTTTTGAAGAAACATTATTCGTCATATTGGAATTCCACAGAAAATGAAACAAGAGTCTTGGTTTGCTGTGAAATAAGTATGCGTGGGTTTGTAAGTATGTATGGAATTATCAAGCTATAATTACGCGTTACAAAACAGTCTGAACTGGCACGTTTAGCGTAAACTGTATTGCACTTTGAAGATTTTTTGAATAATATATGAACCTGAGAAAGTTTGCAACATTGTTCTTTTATCGACGGAATAAAAAAAAGAAAATCGCATGTACAGCACAATTTTATACATCAAAAAAATGGTTGTCGACAACGGATAAATATTATGTTGCGAAAAACAGTAGGCGTTTCTTTTCGGTTTATTTTGCTCCAAGCAAATCAAATGAAGTTAAATACGTAATCAGTCGAGTCTTGATTGCTGACCTTGAAGTAAGGCCTTTTCAATTTATGAAGTCGACTGCAGTATTGAATTTGTGCAATTAATCGTTTGAAATTACTAAAAAAATGAACAAGTTCGCTTTGATTTTGCTCTCCTACTTTTTGAGTGGATATTTTTGTGAGGGGTATCTTAATAAAACATATAGACAAACTCGTGTAAAAGATGCAGAGCTCCACATTTGTTTTTTCGATGAGATAATGTAATTTTGAATCTCGTTACATCAACACATTATAACATCATTAATAAAGTGTATTTGTTTTGTAGGCACATCGGAAATTCTAGAATGGCAACAGTTGTACAGAAGTGTTGCAATGGTTTCGAAAACAGTGTAGTAAATGGAACACTCGCCGATATTCAGTCAAAAATTGTGTGCATTCCGAACTGTAATCCTAGGTGTTTTAATGGCAAATGTACGTCTCCAAATGTGTGCACTTGCAATGCAGATTACGACTTTAAAACGAACAGTACACACATGTTAGTGAATTATTTTTTTCATTGAAACTTCATTAAATTGTCAACATTTTCACTTTCAGTTGTGAACCTATTTGCAAAAATTGTACAAATGGTGAATGCATCGCTCCTGAAAAATGTGAAAGTCATTCCGGGTATATATTCAACTCAAAAACTGAAACCTGCGTTCCTGAATGTTTTGGATGTGAAAATGGTCGATGTGTTGAACCAAATAAATGCGAGTGTAACGATGGATATCAAGATTCCAATGAGACAACCAGTCTGTGTCAACCGATATGCATGCCATCCTGTAAAAATGCAAAATGTATCGAACCAAATACGTGTGAATGTGATCAGGGATATAAAGTTCTGGATCATGAAAAGCCAAATGAATGTCAATGTGGAGCATACTGTGCAGAAATTGACGAAATATGCCATTGCTTAAACGAAGAACAACGCATCGATGGATTTTTGATTGAAAATGACGTGTCATCTCTATGTACAGAAACAATTTTACCTAATGGAACGTCTACAAAAGTCTGCAGTTGTCTCAATGGATTTTATTCGGCAAACAAAACATGCGTTTGTGCAAAAGGTTACAAAATGCGTAATGGATTCGATGATCTTTGTGAACCTCAATGCGAAACCGAATGTGTTAATAGTATCTGCGCTGAACCATCGAAATGTCAATGTTCGAGTGGATATGAGTTAAGCCAAAATAAAAATGAAACAAACATTTGCCAGCCGATCTGCGAATCAGGTTGTAGCAATGGGGCGTGCATTGCTCCGCATACTTGCCAATGCGATGAAGGATTTGAAAATGAAGAACATTTGATTGGTAATTTTACATGCGTCTCAAAATCACTTCGGATTGAAAAGAAAAAAACACCTGATACGCAACCCGGGGAAGGACATTGGTATATTATTTCTCTTCCATTATGTTCATTCTTGGCTGGCTTATTTCTTGGAATTATTGTCACTTTAATTTTTGTGGCCACACTGTATTGCGTCACACTCTGCGTGATAAAAGAACGATTGGACATTGCCAACATTTAGTGAGTATGCGTCACGTTTTTTTACTGCTTTTTCCGCTTTTCTAATTTATGACTAAACATTTTTTGTATTAAATTTTCAGATGAAATCCTCAAAAATTTAGTTTTTTCGCTGGAATATTGCTGATAACAATAAAAATTTATTTTGATGTTTGATAAATTTTTTCTGCAGAATTGAGCAATAAATAAAAAAAAACTTTTTTACGATTTCATTCGAATGATTTCACCATTAAATTCAAAATTCGGTTAAAGTACGTTCTACTATGTGAACAGATAATAATTTGTTTGAAAAAAAATTGCTAGGCTATTTCTTTGTTATGATTTTGATACCATAGCCAGTACACAATTATGAGCAAATTAAATGCAATATCCGTCCATTGAGATAAGATATGGCTTATGCACATTGAAAATTACATGTAAGCGACGCTTGGTACAAATATCTCCAGACTGTTTTGATGCGATCATATCAGAAACTGCTCGCCACAAAAGGAAACAGTACTCAAATAATGAACTAGTTTCTTGTTGAACGTTGACAGTGACAGTTAGTATTTTAGAATAACCTTCCCTACACAAAGTTTTCGTACGATTTTGATCATAAAAATGAGGTCGTACTCATTGATTATACTATGCTTTTTAATAAGTGGTTGTTATACGACGTCATTTGCGTACGATGAACAAGAAAATATCGAAACTTCTACCGATTTACCGATAGTTATAAATGAAACTGAAATCAGCAGAGGAGATGATGGACATTGTACTTTTGAAATAAAGTAATTTTGCTTTTTTTCATCTAAAACGTTTCAAATTACTAAATATCGAATCATAAAATCAATTTTTTTTCCTAAACAGAAAGCGAAAAATTTTTGTGACTAAAATTCCATACACTGATACGGAAACTTTTTATGGTCGCTGCCCAGGATATTATTTTAAGAAATGTTTAAGAGAAAGACAAGTGATGAAATCGCGAACTAATCATGAAATTCGCGAAATTAATGAAACTGTTACAAGATGCTGCAATGGATATGTGAAGAATGAATC